TAGTGATGCTTGAACTGAACTATTAAGGGTTCTGAAGTCAAAACTTATAAGATTGGGGCTGGGGATGTGGCTCAAGTGGTAGCATGCTTGCCTAGCATGTGTGAGGCACTGGGTTCAATTCTCAGCACCATATAAAAATAAAATAAAGATATTGTGTCCACCTAAAACTAAAAAATAAATATTAAAAAAAAACTTGTAAGATTAACTGGCAGGAAAATCATTGCTTTTTAAAGTAATTCTACTGGGAGATGTGGAGGTGGGAAGAGTTCCCCATGAACAGATATAAAACTAATAAGCTTAATGCCCAGCTCTTCCATACAATAGGTGTGGAATTTTTAAACCAAGATTTTGAGGTGGGTGAACATTTTGTTACCATGCAGATTTAAGACACAGCTGGTCAAGAGCCATTTGGAAGCCCAAGAATACCATTTTACAGAGGTTCTAGCTGTTGCCTGCTTACTTTTAATGTTGATGATTCACAGAGCTTCCAGAAATTAAATAACTGGAAGAAAGAATTCATATTTTCTATTCCATTTTATCAATAAAGCTGATTTAACAAACAAACAAAAAAAATTCATATTTTCTGCAGATGTGAAAGAGCTGGGAAAAGCTTTCCATTTGTGATTTTGGGCAACAGGATCAACATAAGTGAATGGCAGGTATCTATAGAAGAAGCCCAAGTCAGGTGCAGGGACAGTGGCCACCATGTTTACTTTGTAACAAGTACAGAAGATGCCACCAATGTCAGATCACCTGATTCAGACAGACTAGATCAGTATTCACCGGAAGACCAAGCCAAGCTTGTTGTTGATTGTTAGATTGTTGGTGTGTTCTAACCACCTCACATGTCACAAAGTAAACATTAGTGTGGATAAGAGTTTGTAGCAGTGTGTCATCTAATAATAAACTCAGACTAAATGTTTATTACTGCTTCATTAATTGGTGAGAGAAGGGACACATCTATCCTCTTTGGAGGGATCTGTTTACTCAATAATGGCACCTTACATTCATAAATTGTAGCAGTTATCTAATAATGTTTCTTTAAATATGTAAGTTAGAGCTAATAAATGGGACGATCACAGTTTAATATAGTTAAAACAAAAAACTTGACTGTTCTAGAAGTTATACTTGGATTGTTTTCCTCCTCTCCCCACCAGAAAATGGAGAACTACTTTTATATTTATGTATTTTTATGTAATTAGTACTCTGTTGTTGATTTGAGAAAATGAATTCCTAAAGTAATAATATTAAATATTAAAGCTTAAAATCCAGCTGTGTGTAGGAGTGCACACCTGTAATCCCAGTGAATCAGGAGGCTGAGGAAGGAGGATTACAAATTCGAGACTGGCTTTAGCAATTTAGTGATACCCTAAGCAATTTAGCAACACCCTGTCTCAAAATAAAAAGGGCTAGAGATGTGGTTCAGTGGTAATCTATCCCAGGGTTCAATCTTCAGTATCCAAAAAAAGAAAAAGAAAAATAATGCATGCCTGTAATCCTAGCAACTCGAGAGACTGAGGCAGGAGGATCAGGAGTTTGAGGGCAGCCTCAGCAACTTAGTGAGGCCCTAAGCAGCTTAAGGAGGTCTTGTCTGAAAATGAAAAATAAAAGGGATGGAGATGTAGCTCAGTGGTTAAAAAAAAACAAAAAAAAAAACCCTCTCCATTCAATCCCTTGTACCCTTCCCCCCAAGAAAAAGAACGAAAAAAAAAATCTAATACCAAAACCCCCCCAATAATTATCTTAACAGTTGGGTATATGATGAGCTCATCTCACCTCCTGGTCATTTAGGTGTTCTGCTTCAACCTGTATACTGATTTATCCCTCCCTTCCTTTCTTCCAGTGAAAAGGATTGAATTTAAGGTCTTGCACATGCTAGGCAAGCACTCTACCATTGAGCCATACCCCAACTTAATTTGTCAATTATTTTTATTAAAGATATTGTATACTTAGCTAAGCAGTGGGGAAAGTATGTTTTATTATTCTGGTACTTTATTCTACAAGCAACATCAGATAAGCCCAGTAGAGGACTGGGTTTAAAAGATAATATGTTTATTTGCTATGCACAGTGGTACGTTACTGTAATCCCTGGTCCTTGGGAGACTGAGGCAGAAGTTTTTAGGCCAGTGTTGGCAATTTAGTGAGATCCTGTCTCAGATTATAGCTCAGTGGGAGAGTACTCTGGGGTTCAGACCCATTATAGCCCCAGATATAAAACCCTTTACAAAGTCTTCTGGGAAGCTTTCTGAGGAGTTTTTTTTCCCCTTGGGGTGGGGGTGGCGTGGGGGTGGTTTACCAAGGATTGAACCCAGGGGTATTTAACCACTGAATCACATCCCCAGCCCTTTTTATTTTTTATTTTTAGACAAAGTCTCACTAAGTTGCTTAGGGCTTCACTAAATTGCTGAGGCTGGCCTTAAACTTTTGATTCTCTGATGAGTTTTGTTACTGGGATCTTTCTGTGCCCACTTCTTTTCCCTTTGGTCTTTCCTCATTCTAATGCTGGGCACTCATCCACGGAGGCATCTTAGATGTTTTCTTGGACAAGATCTAAGTTTGCCCTGTTGTCTTCTCTGGGACTCGTTTCTTTCGTCTGACTTCAACTGACTCTGAGCCAAAATGATCTTCTGAAAGCTTTGCTTCATGACCTTTATTTCTTGACTATTTTCATGTACTTTGCCTGATTGTCTTTGCTGGTTCTTTCCATTTCCAGTGATGTAAATTATATTGTCTTAGTTGTAAGGCTTTAAAGCTTAGGTGCAGCTTCAGGCCTCTTAGACTTTTCCCTAGTTTATAAAGTTTCTTTGTCCTTTCCTAGAAATTGAGGGAAGAGTCAGGTGCTCTGTTAGAGGTATTGCTGACTCTCCTGGAATTTTGGTTTGTTAGTTGTTTAAATAATATGTAGCAATTTGGATTGTATTTGCAAGGTAGGACTTATTGCCAAGACTCTGAAGTAGGTCATTGCCATTACCCTTTCTCCCCTTATTTTTCAACTCAAAAATTTTGTGAAGAGAGATTGACCTTGCCCATGATCATGTAGTTAAATTTTTTGTTTTGTTTGGTGGTCCTGGGGATTGAACCTTGGGCCTTGCAAATCACTGAGTAACATCCCCAGCTACTTTAGGTTAATTAAATTAAATTATTTGATTTATTTATTTTGGGGGAAGTACTGGGATTGAATCCAGGGCTGCTGGACCACTGAGCTATGTCCCCAGCCCTTTATTTTTTATTTTGAACAGGATCTTGCTAAGTTGTCCAGAGTGGCCTTGAACTTGTGATCTTCCTGCCTCAGTCTCCGGAGTAGTTGGAATTGCAGACATGTGCCATTGTACCTGACTCGGTTTTAAAATGAAATTCTGAAGCAAACCTCATTTTTGTATTACTTATACTACCCACCCCCCAAAAAAAAACTTGGGATTGAACCCAGGTATACTCTATCTCTGAGCTACATCTCCAGCCCTTTTTAATTTTATTTGAGACAGGGTCTTGTTAAGTTTACCAGGCTGGCCTTGAACTCGGAATCTTCCTGCCTAATCCTCCTGAAAAGCTGGGATTACAGGTGTGCAGTAGTGTACCCAGCTATTACTTATACGTCTGAGCATTGATATAGCTTAACAAATAGTAGATGCTTAATAACAAATGTTAAATAATAACATCTTAACTTTCAGTTGATTGATAATAGGGATATGGTTAAAATTCAGAATTCTCATCAGGTTGATCACATTGTGGATTAATAGCTGAAAAAAGTTTCTAGTGTGAAGGGGCATAATAGCTATGTAGAAAGTCTTTAGCAATTCAGAGAATACATGCTCAAAATCTTGATTCAAATCATTCTAAAATGAAGGAGTAGAAGAGTAGTTTGGCTAGAATGAAAATTAGTTATAATGTAAGGAGAAATAGGACTAAGATCAATTCTAGAAACAGACATATTTCCTGCTTGAGGTCAGACAGCAAAAATGAAAAATCCCTACCCCCCCATTAGTTGCTTTCCCCAAAATCACTATCCAGAGAGGCTAGAGGCTACTAATTATTCTTTGCATCCTAGTGCCCAGTCTTTAGGCTGCAGTGTAAAGCTTGGAAGGTCTTATGGGGTCAGCACAAAGAATAGTTTGGCCTTTTTTTTTTCTCAAATATTTTTAGTTGTAGATGGACACGATGCCTTTATTTTATTTATTTTTATGTGGTGCTTGGGATCAAACCCAGTGCCTCACATGTGCTAGGCAAGCACTCTTCTACTTAGCCACAACCCAGCCCAGTTTGGCCTTTTAATTTAAATTCTTAATAGTTTTGCTGCTGTCAAATAGTTCTGTTAATTCCAAAGCCCAAATCATTTTCTGATTGTTTTGCTGTGTCCAGTTGGCTTGTGGGACCAAAATAGCCTCCAAGACTGCTATACTACACTGCATTTTATAATATAATCCCTCAGAGGACCCAGCTACTTTTTTTCCCCCTTAAAAAACAACACAGCCAAGCATGGTGGCACATACCTGTAATCCTAGAAACTATGGAGGATGTTGCAGGAGGATTGCAAGTTCAAAGCCAGTCTCAACAATTTGGAGAGACCCTCAGCAACTTAAAAGGACCCTATCTAGAATATAAAGTACTGGGCATATTGCTCACTGGTATAGCACCCCTGTTTTCAGTCCCCACCAAAACTAAAAAGCAACAACAACAAAAAAATTGTGATATCTTCTCCGTTCTACCCCACCCTTTGAGACCAATTATTTATATCTCATTTGGGAGCTCTGATCTCCCCTCATGACTTTTCCATATGCTAAGAAGTCCTGTTCTCTGAACCTAATTCTAGCTTCTTTGTGTTGCATAAATTTTAACTTTATTTGGTTTCAGACCTGATTCTATCTTGTGTCTTTTCCTGCTCTCTGTAGTAAACTTTGGATATAGTCTTACTTGGGAAAAGAATGATAGCTTTTGCCTATTTGTTTGTTTTTTGGTTCCTTAAATGCTTTTTATTAATTGTTATCACTTTCTTTGTCAAACAGGCCACCAAGCAGTTTTTGGAAGAGATTAACAAGTGGACAGTTCAGTACAACGTTTCCCCACTCTCTTGGAATGTGGCTGTCAAGTTCCTCATGGCCAGGAAGTTTGACGTGCTCCGCGCTGTGGAGTTGTTCCACTCCTACAGAGTATGTGGCTTGGAGTAGACACCTCTATGGTTGGGCTTTGGGCTTTTTCAGTGTTGTTTTCTTTTAAGTATACTGCACACACATTGCTTCTTTAATTGCCCCCTTTTCCTGCCATGAAAAGTCGATCAATATCCAAGAAGAGAGATACTGTGAGAGCTGACGCTGGGCAGAGCAGCTCCTGGAAACACCACTTATATGCCTAAAGTTTGTTGTAGAACCGGATGATGCTTTTAATGACTGAAGCTAAGGAAGTAACCTGATATCATCCTGGTGGTGGGATAGTTGTTCACACTTGTTGGAGTTTGAGTCATAGCTCTTCACTTTGGCTACCTGCCCCATTTATTCCACTGGTTTTCATGATCTCTGGGAGTTTGAAAACCTGTCATTCAGATGAATGCTGAGCTTAATTTAGGAAGGTAGCCCTAGTCCTGGAAAAGAAGAGTAACTATATTACCTAGGTCTATATCTTAACAGTACCTTTATACAAATCAACCAACATTTTCACTTTTTAAAATTTTTATATATTTTTTATTTTTTTTTGTAGTTGTAGAAGGACAGCATACCTTTATATTTATTTTTATGTGGTGCTGAGTATCAAACCCAGTGCCTCATAGAGCTAGGCAAATGCTCTGCCACTGAGCTACAGCCCCAGCCGGTATTTTTTTGTTTTTAAAAGGGCTCAGTCTTTGATTCTGTATTTTTTGATTTTTAAAATTTATTCTAACTAGTTATACATGACAATGGAATGCATTTTGACACATTGTACACAAATGGAACATAACTTCTGATTCCCGATTCTGTGTTTTTATTTGCTTCCTCAGCAGTGTCCTTTAAAGCAATCTATATTTAGGGGCCATAAAATTGTTCTGAAAAGATATAAAATCTCTATAAATTAAAATATTTGGGATAACAATACTAGAATTAGCTTAGGACTGAAGCTCACTTATACCTATCGTGTGGGTCATTCAGTATATTCAATATTTATAAATTTATTCATTGTATACCTACTATGTTCCAGTTGCAAAGATGACCTTTTTTTTCCCCACTGTAATGCTAGGGATTGATTGATCCCAGGGCCTTGTTCAAGTGCTCCACTGCTGAGCTACATCCCCAGACCAAAGATTACTATTTAGAAGGAGAGAGTAAACAATTATAGCAATGTCATGAGAAAGCAGCACTGGGTTCCCTGGGAGCACATTTAGTTAGGCGAGTCAGAAAAACTTTCCTAACTGAAAGGATTTGTAAACTAAGATCTGAAAGATGAATAGGAATCAAGCAGATGGAAGAGTGTGGCAGAGAACAGCAAGTTCAAATGTTCAATGGAAAGAAAGAAATTCAGCTGAATCAGAATGTTAAGTAGAAATTGGGGGGCATGGAAAGAGATTGAGTAGCAGAGATAATTAGGGCCAGATTAGAGAGTGTCTGATTTCTGAAGGGCAGAGAAGTTCACTAAAGGTATAAGCAGTGAAATGAATTAGTCATATTGGTATTCTGGAAAGATTTTTTCCTCACTGTGCTTTGGAAAATGGATAAAAGGGCTGCACTGTATTAGAGACAGACCAATTGAAAGGCTATTGCATTTACAAGGGCAGATGATTGCAGTATTAATAAGGATAATGTAAGAGGAGGTGGAGAGAAGTGGGAAGACTTATAAGTTACTCAAACTGGTATGAGGAAAGAAGAATCAAGAATTTCAGAGTTTTGACTTGCATGTTGGGGTAAATGGTGGAGGTATTTATTTTATACTGAAGTGGGTATAGGTGTGTGGAGAGAAGGAGATTTTGAGTTTAGTTTTTCTGTGTTAAGTTTGAAGTGCCTTTGAGATATCCAAATAGACATATCTTTTAGTGGTTGGAATATGAATCTAGGCTTAAGAAAAGAAGTCCATACTAGAAATAGAGATCACGGTATGACCAAAGTAGAACTGAATATTGGAGCCTTGGGAATGGATGGAGGTCATATTGGGAAGGTGTGAGGAATGGGAAGATTTATAGGGTTAGAATCTAACCATAGACTTTTTCTTCTTTCTTTGGTACAGTATTATTTTGAAAATTGAGAATGCCTTGGGTAGGTTATAGGTCATGCACTCTCCTGTGATGTCACCACAAATATTGTCTTTACTTGCTGCTTTGTCTCTAAAGGTACTTGAATTTGACTTTAGGGAGAGAGAGGAGAAGAACACAAACAAAACATACTTATTTTTATTTGCCAGGCACTGAGCTAAATTAAAGCACATAATAATTGCTTTATAAAAATTGGCAAAATGAATAAACCAGTGAATGAGTAAATTAATGAACAAATGCTCATATAGCTGGGTATGGTGGCACACAGAATCCTGGCTATAATCCTGGCTACTTGGAAGGCTGAGGTAGGAGGATTGCTAATTTGATGCCAGCCTCAGCAACTTAGACCCTGTCTCAAGATAAAAAGAGCTGGGGTGTAGCTCAGATGTAGAGCACTTGTCCAACATGTGCCAGATGCTAGGTTCAATTCCCAGTACAAAAGAAAGAAAAGCCCACAGAAGAAACTGATAATTGAGTACTTGTCATCATAGTGTGATAAGCTTAGTGAGACACCATTTTAAAATAAAAAAAAAAAATTTAGAAAAAGGGCTGGGGGTGCTGGGGTTGTGGCTCAGAGGTAGAGTGCTTGCTTAGCATGCATGAGGCACTGGGTTTGATCCTCAGCATCACATAAAAATAAAATAAAAGTACTGTGTCCACTTACAGAAAAGAAAAAGGGCTGGGGATGTAACTCAGTGATAAAGTGCTCTGGGTTCAATCCCCAGTACTGGGGGGAAAAATGGTTTTCAAGTGGAGGGAAGGCTCCTATTTAAGATAGGAGAGGCCTAATCCTGGAAGATGTTTGAGAATGTATGAATCCAGACAATTTCTGGGTCTGTATTTCCATGTCTTTGTGTAATGTCAGTGCTGCTGCACTTGATCCTGTATCCTAATGTTATAGATTGTTTGGGCTTAGGGAGAGGATTTTTACTGATTGAGAGAAAAATATACTATCTCAGGGAATAATAAGGTAGATTTGGACAGAAGTTCTGATAATGCTAGCTGGCCTGAAAGAAGTGACAAAGGAGTTCATAATTTAGTTTACTTCTGACTTCTCTTAGCTCTAAAATTTGTTGGTTTCATGAAGCTGTTCTGTATGTAAAATATTTTCATATTCATCTTGTTGTGTTTCCTATTTAGGAAACCCGAAGGAAGGAAGGTATTGTGAAGCTGAAACCTCATGAGGAACCTCTCCGTTCTGAGATCCTCAGTGGAAAATTCACCATTTTAGTGAGTCTGTGGACCTACCTTATATTGCCTTGTGACTTCCTTTTATAGCTGTTGACCATTTTGGACTTTGTTCCTAGAAGCTTATCCACAGTCAGGAGCAGATTGTGGAGTAGACATGCTGTTTGGCACAAAATTATTATAGTAATTGAATTACTAATAAGTATTTACTAGAATTACTTATAGTAGTTGAATCATTGAATTATGGAGAATTGGATGTATAGTAAGACTTACAAAAGTTTTTTCATTGGTATGTTAAGATTAGTCAAGGCCTTGAGATGGGTATATAATACATCAGAACACATCCTCCCTTATTTATTGGAAGCTCCCTACTTATAAGAGACCTCTTGGCCTCTTGGATAAGTATATGATGGTACTTTGAAGGAAGTGTGGAAACCATGGTCCTGTTTTATGATTCTCTCCTTCTGATTGTTTGTTTTGTTATCCTACTTGGGAAATCAGTTACAAAGTAATGCAGAATTATCCTTTGATCACTCTACAGTTGAAGATCAAAGAAAATGTATTTTATTTTCTTACTACAAGAATGTGGTTCAGCAAGTGCTGAGAGAATCAGGCATGGAATGATACTAACATTCTTCCCTCTCCAGAGTGATTGGTGCAAGTCAAGGAAGTATTGCCAGCATCTTTTTTTTAATGTATTACATCTTTTATCTGTATAAGTCTTAGTGATTATTGTGATTTTTCTGTTTGAGTTTTAAGTATTTCTTGTTTCATTTGCTTTAGAATGTTCGGGACCCAACAGGAGCTTCCATTGCCCTCTTTACTGCCAGATTGCATCACCCCCACAAGTCGGTCCAGCATGTGGTACTTCAGGCTCTGTTTTATTTGTTAGACAGAGCTGTGGATAGGTAAGCATTGAAATTTTCTTTTAGGTGGTCTACATCCAGAAGGAAAGTGACAGTTATTGACCTGATTATTCACAGTGCCTTCATCATGTTCCTAGGATGTACTCAGGGCAGTACTATGAATATAAAACAACCTATGTTTTTGAGGGTATGGCATGTTTTCAGGTAGTATCAGGATTTTAGGTATTATAATTCTATCACCTTAGCTCTATTTCAGGGTAACAGAAGCTGAGATAGCCAATTATTAGCAATTGCCAGTATATTGAAAATTATTTATTATAAGAGAGAGGGAGGAGGTAATGACTTGTGTTGGTTTTTTTTTTTTTTTTTTTTTTTTTGCTCGTATCAAAACCCTTTGTGGGGCTGGGGATGTGGCTCAAGCAGTAACACGCTCGCCTGGCATGCGCGGGGTGCTGGGTTCGTTCAATCCTCAGCACCACATAAAAATAAAGATGTTGTGTCCACCGAAAACTAAAAAATAAAATATTAAAAAATTTTCTCTCTCTCTCTCTCTTTAAAAAAATAAATAATAAATAAAATAAAACCTTTGGGGCCTCAGTTTTTTTGTCTGTAAAAGACGAATGATACCATTTAGTTCAGGGGATTTTGAGAATAAACATTCAGGAAGAAGAACCCAAAAGTATAAAGTTAAGCAGAATCATTGTTGTAATAAAAATAGACACATAGGCAAAAAAGAACTGGCTCAGGCCATCTCTCCTTCCCTCTCTAAAATAAATGAGATTCAAGTTCTATAGACAGAGAAACTGAAGTACAAAGAAATTATATGACTTTTATTTGTTTAATTATATAAACATAATTAAACTTTGCATTCATCATGTTTATCATTCTATTAAAAAGTTCATTGGCTTTTTATTATTCAGAAGTTGAGTATAAGCTAAATAAATGTGAACCCTCTTTCCAAATGTGAACCCAGGGCCTTGAGCATGCTAGGTATGCTGTCTACTGTTGTGATGACAATTAAAAAAAAAGTCACATGTGTTGGTTCAACTAGGTCCAAGATCTTATTTTCTTTGCCCTTGGCCAGAGCTGTTTGTACTGTGCTGTACTGTTTTCCTGCCTTACTTCCTTTTTTCCCTCGTGCTTGCCATTTACAATTTATTACTGCTTTTGACATCTTTGGTCCTTTGTTAAAAGTGCTGTATTGTGGACTGACACCTCAGAATAGAGATAGCTACTTTAGTCAGTCTGTGAACTTATAGGCTGGAAATAGCCATGGGTGGGGTTGTCTGTCTACTTCACTTGTTACTGCCTTTTTATGTTGCTTTCATATTTATTAGCTTATCCTGTTGATGCTGAGCTGGAGATATATCCAAACACCACACACAACATTATCTTGAATTAGAGAAGTTGTCAAGTGAGGACCAGTAGTCTCAGTACCCTGCCCCCAACAGAAATGTGGAATTTCTCAGCTCTACTTCCTTTTGACCAGTCATTAGGCATAATTTCTAGGATGTGATTCTTTTTAAGAGTTTCTTTAGCTCAGGAAATGTATAAAAGACTCTCTTCCTAAAATGCACTGTCAGCCTTCCTCCCTGAGAGCCTTAGAGAGTTGGAGCTCTCACATAGGCATGGCAGGATGTTTGGCAGTGGTTAGATCTTGATTTTTCTAGTGTGAATATTGGATCCCACAGGAGGACCACAAATATAAACATAATTAAACTTTGCATTCATCATGTTTATCCTTCTATTAAAAAGTTCATTGGCTTTTTATTATTCAGAAGTTGAGTATAAGCTAAATAAATGTGAACCCTCTTTCCAAGCAAAATATTCCCCCCAATGAGTAGAAAATCCTGTTTTCCTTTGTTTCCTTGAGCCAGAATGGTTTTCCCTCTCCCCTTCTCTTCACTTTGAGGCCTAACTTTCATCACTGGCTTCTTCACCATTCCAACCTGTTAGAAATAAAATTTTTTATTAGTACATTATAGTTGTGGATAACATTGGGGGGGTTCATTTTGATGTCATTATATAAGCGTAGAATATAATTTTGTTCCAATTCAGTCCTCAGTACTTCCCCTTTCTCTCCCCTCCTCCCTCCCTCTGTTCCCTTTCCTCGACTGGTTTGCTTTCTATTTACTTTTATATTTTTTAAAATTAGTGCCCCCTCCCCCCCCACACACACACGGTGTTCATATATGCACACAGTATAGTTTGGTCAGTTTCATTTCACCATTCCTCCTTATCCCTGTCCCTCCTCCCTCCCCCTCAGTTTCCTTCCTTTACTCCACTGATTTCTCTTCTGTTTTTGTGGGATTCCCCCAACACCACTTTTTCCCCCTTTCTTTTTTTGCTCTTCCACATAAAAGAAAATATTGAGCCTTTGACAGAAAATTTCTGAGTCTGGCTTATTTCACTTAGAATGGTGTTCTCCAGTTCTATCCATTTACCAGCAAATGCAAAAATTTCACTCTTCTTTATGACTGAGTAAAGCTTCACTGTGTGTATATATCACATTTTCTTTACCTATTCATCTGTTAGTATCTGGGCTATTGTGAATTATACTGCTATAAATATTGAAGTGGCTGTATCACTATAAGTCTGCTGATTTTAGTTCTTTTGGATAAATAACTGAGGAATGGGATATCTGGCTCAAGTGGTGGTTCCATTCCTAGTTTTTTTTTTTTTTTTTAATATTTATTTTTTAGTTTTTGGCGGACACAACATCTTTCTTTGTATGTGGTGCTGAGGATCGAACCCGCATTCCTAGTTTTTTGAGGAGTCTCCGTACTGCTTTCTAGAGTAGTTGTACTAATTTTTTTTTTCAGTTCCACCAATAATGTATGATAGTAATAACAATGAGATAATTTTTTTACTCTGAATTTAATAGCAGTTATTACCAATACCTGTCATTATGTATTTAATTATACATGGCCTCAGTGTGTCATTTATCTTATTTTTCATCTACCACAGAATGTTAGCTCCTTGAGGGTAGGGAACTTTTCTTTTTAATACTACATAGTGGAAACTTCTAAATCCTTGTAGGGAATGGTATCATGAATATCCACATACCCATCATCCATCTTCTTCAAAGCAATTCATAATCAATATTGTTTCATTGATTGCCTCTCATGTATGCTATATCCTCGATTCTTTGAAACAAATGTCAGGGACTGTTTTCAACTTTTGTTTTTCCCTGTGGCATGTAGCTCAGGAATCAAAATCAGTAGGGGAGCAGTCAGCTATCACTGTAAACCTCATATTTTGTACCCAGAAAAGCAAGAATCTTATTGCATTTGTACTTATTTCATATATGCCTTCATAGGATAATCAGTTTCATCTAGGAATATAGAATATAGAATATTCATCTAGGAATATATTATTTTGTAGCATAGCTTCTTTTTATTAAATTCTCTTTCTCTTGTCTCTGACTTAAGTTTTAGTCCCTGGAGCCTAGAGGGGAAATCCCATAATTCTTTTAGTTGGTCCTAAATGAATTCATGGAGAAATGGAAATTCTTCAGACTTGTATACAGGTCTACTCAATAATTGTGTCTCACTTTTTTTTTAATATTTTATTTTTTAGTTGGACACAATACCTTTATTTTATTTATTTTTATGTGGTGCTGAGGATTGAACCCAGGGTCTCGCACGTGCGAGTTGATGGACCTTTATTTTACTCATTTATTTATATGTGGTGCTGAGAATTGAATCCAGTGCCTCACACATACTAGACAAGGGCTCCACCACTGAACCACAACCCCAGCCCAGTCCCCAGTTTTTTGTTTTTTTTTTGTAACTGGACACAATACCCTCATTCATTTATTTTTATGTGGTGCTGAGATTTGAACCCAGGACCCCGCACATGCTAGGCAGATGCTCTACTGCTGAGCCACAACCCCGCCCTGTCCCCAATCTTTTTTGAGACAAGGTCCTGATAAGTTGCTGAGGCTATTCTTGGGATCTTCCTGTCTCAGCCTCCTGAGTCACTTGGGATTATAGGCATGTGCCACCATGCCCCACTGCCTTTCAGGGTTTATGGAAAAGTAGTCAAGATTCAGCAGTAAAAACAAGGTTTGCTGGAAAAACTTGCACATGCCTCAGAATTAGAGATTTTTTGAAATGTCATCTACTAGATGGATGCTTCCATCTTGGATCTTGTTAAAAGAATGAAGGTTTGGAGGGTTCTAGAAGATAATACAAAAAATCAGGATACAGATTAACATTGAGAATACTGATTTTTGAGGAATGTGTTTTCTCAATTCTAAATAAATGTAAAAACTTGCTATTAATAGTTTAAATAATTTATTCCCTATAATATTTTGGGAATATAAATCAAATAAAAAAACAAGGTCTGGCTTACTTTGAATGAAATATTTTCATTAAATACATATTTTTGTTCAATGATTGGTTTGCAGCTTTGAAACTCAAAGGAATGGACTGGTGTTTATCTATGACATGTGTGGTTCTAATTATGCCAACTTTGAGCTGGATCTTGGCAAGAAAGTCCTAAACCTGTTGAAGGTAAGGCGTGGGAGGATTCTCTCAACTCCCCTTCAATGCTTAGTATTTTTTTCTCCCTATTATTTGGGAAAAGATTTAGGAATGATGTAAACTTTAGATACTAAGTTTAATTTAAAGGTCATCTGTAAACGATGACTAATATTTGCTTCCTCAGAAAAAAAATGGTCTTTTTTTTTTTTTTTTGGTGTTACTGGTGATTGATCCCAGCGCCTCAGACATGGCAGGCAAGTGCTGCATCACTGGATGTCACTCTCAGCCCTTGCTAAATTGCCCAGGCTGGATTTGAATTTGTAATCCTCTTGCTTTAGTCTCCTGACTTGATGGAATTATACATGAACCCCATCACGCGAAGCTTGTTTTTAATTTTTTCAACTTTTTTTTAAAACATATTTTTTAGCTGTAGATGGACACAATACCTTTGTTTTATGTATTTATTATATTTTTATGTGGTGCTGAGAATTAAACCCAGGGCTTTGCATGTGCTAGGTGAGTGCTCTACCAATGAGCCACAACCCCAGCCCTATTTTTTTTAAGAGAGAGAGAGAGAATTTTTTTTTAATATATATATATATTTTTTTTCGTTATCGGCAGACACAACATCTTTGTATATGGTGCTGAGGATCGAACCCAGGCCACACGCATGCCAGGTGAGTGAGCTACCGCTTGAGCTACATCCTCAGCACCCCCAGCCCTATTTTTTGAATTTTAAAAGGTAATGTGGGGGCTGGGGATGTGGCTCAAGCCATAGCGTGCTTGCCTGGCATGCATGCGGCCCGGGTTGGATCCTCAGCACCACATACAAACAAAGATGTTGTGTCCGCCGAAAACTAAAAAATAAATATTAAAACATTCTCTCTCTCTCTCTCTCTTAAAAAAAAAAAAAAAAGGTAATGTGGTTTATATGCCACTCTAAAATCACAAAGCTTCACCAGAGAAACTACACCCTTACTTTGTGTAATGACTTTGATTATTCTATTTCTTTTTTCCTTTTTTTTCCTCTGGTGTTGGGAATGTGACCTATGGACATCCTACCACGGAGCTACACCCCAGCCCTTTATTTTTATTTTTTATTTTTTTGCTACCAGGATTGAACTCAGGGGCACTTGGCCACTGTCCACATCCCCAGACTTATTTTGTGTTGTATATTGAGACAGGGTCTCACTGAGTTGCTTAGTGCCTTGCTTTTGCTGAGGCTGGCCTTGAAGTCACGATCTTTTTGCCTCAGTCTTTTGAACCACTGGGATTATAGGCATGCTCCACTGCACCTGGCTACAGCCCTTTATTTTTATTCTGAAACAAGGTCTGGCTAAGTTACTGAGGCTGGCCTTGAATTTGTGATCCTCCTACCTCAACCTCCCAAATTTCTGGAATTACAGGCATGCATCACCATGCCCGGCTTTCTGTTTCACATTTTTAAAATAGTTAGTCATGACCAACTAAATTGATTTCTGGACTTACTGAGTCATAGCTTGCTGTTGGAAAAGCATTGGTGTAGGAGTCTGTTCCAGGACCTCACTTAGAAGTATTATTGAACTAGACTTTTAGAAGTATTTATTTATTATTACAGCTTCATAACAGAAATCATAGAAAGAGAATGTATACTGTATGCTATTTTCAAGGACTTGTTTCTTTCACTCAGCATTATGTGTTTAAAATTCTTATTTTGGTAAGTAGCTATGATATATTCCTTTTCATTGATCAAAGTATTGATTTCTTTGCATTCTTCATTCGTTGATGAATATACCACTGTTTTATATATTCTTATTGATAGCTCCTCAGGTTATTTCCTATTTTTTGTTCTTGTGGACAGTACTGCTATAAACTAACTTTCTTTATCTCTTTCACTCCTTTTTTTTTTGGGTGTGTGGAACCATAGATTGAACCAGGGATACTTCAAATCTGGCCCATATTCCTAACCCTTTTTACTTTTTATTTAGAGATGGGGTCTGACTAAATTGGTTATAGCCTCACTGAGTTGATGAAGCTGGCTTTGAATTTGTGATCTTCCTGTTTTAGCCTCCTGAATCCCTGGGATTAAAGGCGTGTACCACCATACCCAGCTGTCTTTCTTTTTGAAATGAACATTTTTATACATGTTTTTTGGTGAAGTTTGCAAGAGAGTGTCTTGAGCAATATTTCTCAATCTTTTGTTTTTCCTCCATTTTTTCATGATTGCCTCACTAAAGAGGCTTTTCTTCCCCTCCTTCCTTCCACCCCCTCCTTCCCTTCATTCCTCTGCTTCCTTCTTTCTTTTTTTAATTTTGAGACAGAGTCTCAACTAAGCTGTTGAGGCTGGCCCCAAACTTGGGATTCTCCTACTCCGAGTCATTTGGATTACAGGTGCCACATTACCAGGGCTAAGGAGTCTTTTTAGACCTTTTTTCCCTAGTAATTTCTCTTCTTCCTCCTCCTCTTTTTTATTTTTTTAAATTGTGGTGCTTGGATTTGATCTGGGGGCCCTTGAAAATGCTAGGCAGGTTGTTATTACTGAGCTTAATCTTCAGCAATGTTTATTTTATTTTGTAATAGGGTCTGACTATATTTGTTCAGGCTGGCCTTGAATCTGGCAATCCTCCTGCCCCAGCCTCCCCAGTTGCTGGGATTAGAGGCATGTGTCACCATGACTGGCTCATTTAGACCATTTTAAGATCATTGGCTTTAAATACATTCATATTGCAACCATAAGCACTATCCATTTTCAGAACCTTTTCATCATCATGAACAGAAACTCTGTATCCATTAAATAGTAACTTTTTCTTCTTTTTGTTGGTACCATGGATTGAACTCAAGGGTACTGAACCTTTTTATTTTTTGAGAGAGGATCTCGCTAACTTGCTTAAGGCCTAAGTTGCTAAGGCTGGTTTTGAACTTGTGATCTTCCTACTGCAGCCTCCCAAGTCGCTGGGATTACAAGTGTGCACCACTGTACCCAGCCTAAATAATATCTTTTTATTTTCTTTTTTTCTGGTCCTGATTAATCTCTATTCTGCTTTCTATGAATTCACCAAGTATAGGTGCTTATATAAGTGGAATTATTAGAATACTTTTCTTTTGTCTCTGGTTTATTTTAGCATAATGATCTATAGCATGATTAGAATTTCATTGCTTTCTAAGGCGAATAATATTTTGTGTATGTACAATTTACTTCTCTATTCATTTGGCTATTGTGAACATTAGCTATAAATATCTGGTTGAGTCCCTTCTTAGTTTCGAGAAGTGGAATTACTATTTTATGGTGCTATAGATTGAACCCAAATCTCAAGCATGAGTTTATTTATTTATTTTTGCCATACTGAGGATAAAACAGAGATACAAGCATGTTAGACTCATGCTCTGACATTGAACTACATTTCTAGACCTGGAAGTGAAATTTGTTGGGTTATATGGTAATTCTATTTTTAACTTTTTAAGGCAGAAGTGTGTTACTGGGATTGAACTCAGAGGCATTCTAACACTGAGGTACATATGCAGCCCTTTTTTAAATTTTTTATTTTGAGACAGGATCTCTCTGAGTTGCTCAGGCTGGTGTTGAATTTGCAATCCTCCTGCCTCAGCCTCCTGAATTGGTGGAATTACATGGTGGCATCGCCAAGCCTGGAGAGATTTTGCTTTCATAATTTAAGAATTTTATCTTAACCTGGGAGGTGGTACATGCCTGTAATCTCAGTGACTTGGGAGGCTGAGGCAGGAGGATGGCAAGTTAGAGGCTAGTCGCAGCAAATTAGCAAGACCCTAAACAACTTAGTGAAACCCTGTCTCAAAATAAAAAAGGGTTGGGGATGTGGCTTAGTGTTAAAGTGCCCCTGGGTTCAATCCCCAGTGCAAAAAACAATAACAATAAAATGCTAAGACCTTTTTTTTAAGTATGATTTGTAGGGATCTTTTTTCCTATATCAATCACTTTTTCTCCTGGTTTTACATATTTAAATAGTCCCCATCCTCAATTTTTTTTTTTTTTTTTTGAGCCACAATGTGTATTTTATTTAGATAAGGGGTCTTGCTGAGTTGCTTAGGGCGCTGCTAAATTGCTGAGGCTGGCTTTGAACTCAGGATCCTCCTGCCTTAGTTTTTGAACTGATTGGATTGCAGGAGTGTGCCACTGCCCAGCCAGTTTTGTGTTTTTTTTTTTTAAAGATGCTTGGAATTGAACTCATAGCCTCCTGTGCTAAGCATGTGTTCTACCACTGAGTAAATGTCCCAGCCCTTTTCCCCAGTTTAGACTTTCTCTTTGTAAGCTTTAACAAAATCATAATATCTTGGTAATTTAATATACCTTTGATAATTTAGTTAACTGTCTAACCATATTTCTCCTTTATTCACCTTGTCCTCAGGATTAAATAATACCATTATGATCAGTTTAGTTTCTCCTTTTAAATTATTTTTAACTTTTTAATTTTTACATTTATTTATTTTTATAGCACTGGGGATTGAACTCAGGGCCTTAAAATGTACTAGATAAGCACTTTTATCATAGAGCTATATCCCTAGTCCTTTATTTTAATTTTTTGAGATAGGGTCTCCTTAAATTGCCCAGAACTTGAACTTGTGATCCTGCCTCAGTCTCCCAAGTATATGGGACTAGAGGCATGTGCCACCACTTCCTGATGGGAATTGAAAATAAAATTATAATTTTACTTATTTATGTGTGCATGTGTGTATGTATGCTAGCAGTGGGATTGAACCAGGGGCGCTTTCCCAATGAGCCACATACATAGCAACAGCACCCCTCCCACCCCCTGCCTCTGATTTTTGTTTATTTTTTGGTAGCAGGAATTGAAACCACTGAACCATGTCACCAACACTTTTTATTTTGAGACAGGGTCTTGCTGAGTTATTTAGAGCCTTGCTAAGTTGCTGAGACTAGCCTTGAACTTGTAGTCCTCCTTCCTCAGCTTCTTGAGTCGCTCAGATTACAGTAGGCATGTGTCACTGTGCCTGACTTTAAAATTATAGTTTTGATCCTCTTTAATTTAAAATTATGTTGTGAGAGGGGCTGGGTTGTGGCTCAGTGGTAGAGCACTTTCCTAACACAGGTGAGGTCCTGGGTTTGATCCTCAGCAGCACATAATAATTAATTAATTATTTAAAGGTTAAATTTTAAAAATATTTATTGTGAGAAATTCTTTGAAATCTTCATTGTAAAGTTATATGACATTCTATTGTAAGATACACCATTTAGTTAATCACTACTAATTTTGGACATATATGTTCTGTTCAGTTTTGAAATGGTATTCTATTTATTTATTTAGGGACTGGGGATTGAACTCAGGGGCACTTGACCACTGAGCCACATCCCCCACCTTCTTTTGTGTTTTATTGAGAGACAGGGTCTCACTGAGTTCCTTAGTGCCTCACTGTTGCTGAGGCTGGCTTTGAACTCTGGATCTTCCTGCCTCAGCCCACTGAGCTGCTGGGATTATAGGCATGCGCCACTGTGCCCAGCTTCAAGTGTTATTTTTAACCATCAAAGTAAATGTTTAGGGGTTGGGGACATAGCTTAGTGGTAGAGCATATGCTTATCATGTGTGAAGCCTTGAGTTCAATCCCCATTTACCATTTTAAAAAAAGGGTAATAAATGTATTTTTAAAAATAAATCTGTGTTTCTGGTTATTTCCTTAGGATAGAGGGTCAGAAATTGATGATTGAAGAGCATGCACAATTTTAAGGACTTATAATGTCAGATGCTTTCTTTCTTTCTTTCTTTTTTTTTTTTTTTTAAAGAGAGAGAGAGAGAGAGAGAGAGAATTTTTTTTTTTAATATTTATTTTTTAGTTTTCGGTGGACACAACATCTTTGTTTGTATGTGGTGCTGAGGATCGAACCCGGGCCGCACGCATGCCAGGCGAGCGCGCTACCGCTTGAGCCACATCCCCAGCCCCCTTTCTTTCTTTTTTTAAAAAATATTTTTTAGTTGTAGGAGGACACACTATATATTTATTTTTAACATAGTGCTGAGGATTGAACTCAGTGCCTTACGGGTGATAGGTGAGCACTCTACCACTGAGCCACAACCTTAGCCCACCACATGCCTTTCTAAAGGTGTTATCCATTCACAATTCTACCAGTAGTATATGAGGGTGCCATAAAGTCATTTAAATGAACAGGTAGCAATTTGCGGTGATGAAGAAGACAATGGCTCCTATTTTCTATAAATCATTTTGTGGAAGCGCAGGTATTTTTCCAGACTGTTTTTTAAATTTGGCAGTTTAAGGGGCTATTAGTATGAATCATTGCATCTTTGAAGAAAAATATGAATTTAGTGGCCTTTGGAATATTTTGTTGTGGATGCTGTCTACTCTCCATAGGCAATATTTAGATTCTCTAAATTAGCTCACTGAACAGTGACTGAAAAGAATAGAATAACATATCAAATCGAGATTTAGCCTTTTTTCCCCCCCCTGTAACTGGCAATTGAATCCAGGGAACTTTAAAAGTGAGTTACATCTCAAGCCCTTTTTATTTTTATTTTGTGACAGGGTCTTCCTAAGTTGCACAGGCTGGCCTGGAGCTTGTGATCCTCTTGTTTTAGCCTCTAGTAGCTGGGATTACAGGTGTGTGCCACTGTACCTGATTGAGAATTAGTTGTGTGTGCATGTATGTAGTACTGGGAATTGAACTTTATCTCTTAACTGTCTCCCCAGTCTTTTTTATTTTTGAGACAGGGGCTTGTTAGGTTTCCCAGGCTGGCCTAGAACTTTTGCTCTTCCTGCCTCTATCTCCCAAGTAGCAGAGATTTTCTATGGTGCCAGTGTGCTTGGCTGAGAATTAGTCTGTCTCTCTCTTTTTAATTTTTTTTTTTGTTTTAGTTATACATGGACACAATATCTTTATTTTGTTTGTTTATTTTTATATGGTGCTGAGGATCTAACCCAGTGCCTCACATGTTCAAGGCATGTACTCTGCCTTTGAGCCACAACTCCAGCTTGAGAATTAATCTTTTGAAAGTGTTAGAATACAGACAAAAAAAAAAAAAAATAAGGTAAAAGATTTGTAGTTACAGTTTCCTCTTTTTAGGATGTTTTGGAAATAATTTCTTCACAGTTAGAATGCTAATATTATATCAATCCTGCATCTGAGAAGGGCCAAAATATTGAAAAACTGAATTAAACCAAGCATTGTGAATGATTTGTCATTCTTAAGCTTTGTATAGGCCATTTGCCTTTGTGCATAGTAGGTCATTTGTGTTTTATTTTATTTATTTTTTGGTGTTGGGGGTCAAACCCAAAGTGTTCTGCATGCTAAAGATATTCTGAACCCCTGAGCTACCCCAGCCTCTATAGATTGAATAAATAAATTTACAGATGAAGAAATGGGTAAAAAAAAAAAAATGATGATACGGGGTGGGCTGAGGTTGTGGCTCAGGTAGAGCACTTGCCTAGCACGTGCAGGGCCCTGGGTTTGATCCTCAGCACCACATAAAAATAAATAAACAAAATAAAGGTATTTGTCCATCTACAACTAAAAAAAAATATTTAAAAAATGATGATACATACACAGATACCAAATTAGATGCAAATTATGAAAAGAGATGTTTCTTTTATATTCAGTTTTTCCTCAGTCTAACTTTTCTTATAATTTTAATACATAGAATTTTGGGGGGATACAATATGTGTGTTGATGTGCTATGTAAATGTATAGGATAACTCCTGATAAGAGAACTCAGAATACTCTTTCATCCATAAAGCTATGGTAAACATGAAGTTAATATTATTAATTTAAATAGTAAATCATCTTCTAATTTCTTTGTTGTTTGTATTTTTGCTGAACTGGGGATTGAACCAGGGCTAGTCTAGTATTGAGCTACATCTCCAGCCCTTTTTATTTTGTATTTTTTAGGTATTTATTTATTTACTTACTAGGAATTGAACCCCGGGGTGCTTTACCACTGATCTATATCTCTAGTCCTTTTTATTTTTCATTTTGAGAAAGGATCTTGCTAAATTGCTACTGGTCTTGAGCTCCTGAGTAGGTGGGATTACAGGTATGGGCCACCATGTCTGGTTTAGTTTTCATTTTCAGACAGGGTCTGCTAAATTGCTTGAATTTAGGGTCTTGAATTTAGGATCCTGCTGCCTTATCCTATACAGTTGTTGGGCTCATAGGCATCACCACCTCACTTGATTTCTTTTAACTACTTTTCCTCTAGCTATTGAGAAAAAACTAGAATTAGTCGGTACACTCCCCCTGCTGGGTAAGAATGGAGAGAAGTATAGAAAATCTAACCTTGGGGCTTGAACAGTTATGGGTCCCATTAGGCTTAAATCCTCATACGTTTTTTTCTACAGGGAGCATTTCCAGCTCGTTTGAAGAAGGTGCTTATTGTGGGAGCACCAATATGGTTCCGAGTGCCCTATTCCATCATCAGCCTCCTTCTGAAGGACAAAGTCAGGGAGAGGGTAAGACAAGTTAGCTTTTTCTTATTTGGAGGTGGATAAATTCCCATTTGTACTATTGGAATCCTGTCAATTAATTTGCTGCTGTCAAAAAATTATCCTGGCTTGTTTCCTGAATTCTTCTCTACTTCTGTCAGTGTATTCTCTCCTATCCTCTCTTTGATTCATTCATCAGCTTGGAACACACTGCCTTCCTCACTATTCTGTAATCTCCTTGTATTAGGAACTGGCCATAGTTTATCTGGCTCTTGCATAAGATAGTACTGAAAGAAAAAAAAAGAAAAGGAAAAAAAAAAAAGATGGTATTGAAGGAATGTGTCCTGGAGGTAATTTAAAGATGGCTACTATTTCCAAAATTTTAGGGCAGAGGTGTAGCTCAATGGCAGGGTATGTACTTAGCATGCATGAGGCCCTGGGTTCAATCCTTACTATCCAAATAAAAACAAAGACAAAAAAAACCCTAAGAATTGAAAATCAGCATATAATTTAATTACACTAGTTGAGCTGGTGTTAGACTTTGTTCACCTGGATGTACCATTCGGCAGGATGGAGAGGGAGAGTCCCTCACTGTATCTCTTCCTATTTTTATTCCTGGTACTTACTCTTAAAACAACTTGTTACTTCCAGTTTCACAAGAATGGTTGCAAATTACTTTAATTCTATTTTAATTTCAGGAGTGCTTCAGGACTAAAAGATGATAGTCTTAGTCAGTGATTGTAACCCTTGAAAGAAAGGGCATATGAAACACTGGCATTATAGGGTAAAAATAATAAACTTTTTTTTTTAAGGGTTTTATATTGTTGTTGTGTTTTTTGTTTTTTTTGTTTTTTGAGACAAGGTCTCACTAAGTTGCCATATTGGCTTCCAATCTTTGCTGTCTTCCTGCATTAGCCTCCCAAGTCACTGGTATTTCAGGCATATATTACCAATCCTGGCTCTCTTTTTAGAAATATTATCAGAGATTTTTGCGGCAAGGAATTATTAAGTTAAATGAATAATGCAGATCTTTATAGCTGAGGTGACTTGGGTCAGAGAGGGGAAAGTGGTGGTGTTTCGTACTCCAGAAATTACATAGACACCTAATGAGTCAGAGCAAGAGAGATCTTTCTTTCTTTTTCTTTTTCTTTTTTTTTAAGATATTTATTCTTAAGTTTTAGGTGGACACTATATCTTACATTTATGTGGTGCTGAGGATTGAACCCAGTGCCTCATGCATGCTAGGTGAGCACTCTACCACTTAGCCCCAGCCCCAGCCCGAGATCTTTCTTAAAAGAACTCTGTGAGAATACTCCTTAGTTATGTTCTTGCATATGAATTATACATGCATGTATAAACTCAAAATATATTGAGTGTCCTATGTAGTCCAGGCATTCGACCCTGGGGATTAAACAATGAGTGAGATATTCCTTACTTCAAGGAGCTCACAGTCATCATAGAGGCCATAGAGGTATACATTGGAGAAGACTTGGACTTTGAAGGAGCATAGAAGAAAACATTGCCTCAGGAGGTCAAGAAGGGCTTCACAGAGGAGGTGAAAAATGAGCAGGTCCTCAAAGAGGTAGAGGAGGAAAGAGGGTGGTCTAAGAAGAGGCAATAGCAAGAAAGAGAAGCTTTTAGGAAGAAGAGCATTCCTGCTCCAGAGAAGTTGACTAAGGAGAACCAGCTAGGCTATCTTGGTCCAGCAGGCCATGCCAAGCAGAGAGCAGATTTAAGTATTATGATGACTTATCTAACATTTTTCCTGGTCTACCCTGTCTGTGGGTGGTTGGTTTCGTCTTGATTTCATAGAAATCTGTTTTTGAGAATACCCATACCAAGCTATGAGTAAAATATAAAGTAATAGGCTTAGAATTGGTAGCCTCAGTATAGGGTTGAAAAAAATAACCACTACCTATGCATTGTTAGTGGTCAAAAAGAATACCAGCATGAGATAGTACAGAGAAGCATTGTTAATAGTACATACAAAGCCTTTGTTCTCTATACCTTCCTTTCAGAAGGTATATAGCAAAGCCTCTAATTCCAGAAGTGAATTTGATACACATTCTCAAAATTCAAACTTGTAGCTGAGAAATTCATTGGACTTAATCCCAGGCAGATGAAATGCATTCTACTTCTTTTATAAATATACCTGGTTTTTCAAGCAAATGTCAACCCATTTCCCAAATTCAAATAAGCACATTTGTTCTTTATCTTCATTATCTGTGCCCCTTTCCTGCCCCAGTACTCACATGGTTCTTTCTGGCCTTCTAGATTCAGATTTTAAAGACTTCTGAGGTTACCCAGCATCTGCCCAGGGAGTGCCTTCCAGAAAACCTGGGTGGGTACGTCAAAATTGACCTCGCCACTTGGAATTTCCAGTTCCTACCCCAGGTGAACGGCCACCCAGATCCCTTCGATGAGATCATCCTGTTCTCCCTCCCTCCTGCCTTAGACTGGGACTCAGTACATGTTCCAGGTCCCCACGCCATGACTATCCAAGAGTTGGTAGACTATGTTAACACCAGGCAAAAGCGGGGGATATATGAGGAGTATGAAGACATCCGTCGTGAGAACCCTGTTGGCACTTTCCACTGTTCAATGTAAGTAGGAAAGTTTTGGGACAGCAATTAGTTATCAAGATGCCTCTGGTGGTGCTGACAGCAGCTCTTCCTTATGTGAAGGAGCATCATTCTCACATAATAGTTTTCTCTCATTCAGAAAGAGGTTGTCTCCTTTTTTGGTGCTTGCTGCCAATGTCCTGTGCTTTGAAATTTCAGAAGGTCTTTGATACCAATAGAGGATCCTTGTAATAATGGACATGACTTTGGATATTTTCCTGAAATGCAAGTGGTTTGGTTTTTTTTGTTGTTGTTGTTTGTTTTTTAAACTCAAATGTGATGTTTTCTATTCTCGTCCTCAGTGTGAGCTCTGGTCTGTTCAGTTTTTCCCTAGAGCATTTATTGTGAATCTCTACATCTTGAAACAATGGATGCTGGTGCATTTAAAAGAATGCATAGTCAAAAAGAGAAGAGTTGCCTCATATGAATTTAACTTCTTGAAACTTTCCTTCTACATAAATCCTACCACAAAACCAACTGGCTAGTTTATAACTCTGGTTCATAACTTGGTAATGTTGTTGACAATAGAACATCAATCATCTCTATTACCATATTGCTTTCATTTCTCTTGCCATGTTTTTGTTGTTGTTGTTGTTTTTCGTACTGGGGATTGAACCCAGGCAGGACCTTGTGCATGCTATGCAAACCCTCCACCATTGACATACATTCTCCAACGCTTATTTATTCATTTAATTTTGTGGTACTGTGATTGAACCCAGGGATGCTCTACCTCTGAGACAGGGTCTTGCTAAGTTGCTAATGCTAGCTTCAAATTTGCAATCCTACCTCACCTTCCAAGTAGCTAGAATTACAGGCATGTACCACCATATCCAGTTATTTTTTATTTGGGGGCAGGTCTCATTAAATTGCCCAGGATGACCTTGAACTTGTTATTCTTCTGTCTTAGCCTCCTGAGTTACTAGGATTACCCTCACCAGATTCTTGACATGTTTTAAATGGCTACAAAAGAAATCCTCTTTATTACTATTGAACTGTCTTTTGAAAATTAAGGAATCTAGGGGGAGGGAAAAGGGAGATCATGAACTGAAATCGAATTCCATGCATGTATGTGTTTTTGGGATGACCCCAACCACTATAAGTATAACTATAAAGCTCTAATAATAATTAAAAAGAAAATTAAGGAATCTGTTTCAGTGGGTCTCAGGCTCAAGTTCCACTTACTGAAAGTCTTCTCTGAAGATTTTTATTTCCCATTTATGTACCTTAGTTTTCCTGTGTGTGATATGTGACTGTATGAGTTTTAAATGTTTCACCTACCTTAAAGCTTTAGGAATCCATGATTTTGTGAGTACCTATACTCTCTCAGAATTCTGCCCAGATTAGTCAGGGTGTAAAGAAGAAAATGTAAAGGAATAAGGGGAAATAATTAGGAAACTGTGATGAGGGCAATAAGAGAGAATTGGCAATTGAGAAGCCAATAAGCAGAACAAGAATGAAAGGAGGGGTGTGTGGGCGGGTATAGCTCAGTGGTAAAGTGCTTGCCTAGTAAGCATAAGGCCCTGGGTTCGAACTCCAGCACTCCCCTACCTCCCTCCCCGCAAAAAAAAAAAAGGAAAGAAAAAAGAATGTAAATGTAGAGAAGTAAATGTAGAGAGCGTACTATAGGGATACTGCTACATTGATGTTCATAGCAGCACAATTCACAATAGCTAGACTGTGGAACCAACTTAGATGCCCTTCAATAGGTGAATGGATTAAAAAAATGTGGCATTTATACACAATGGAGTATTACTCAGCACTAAAAAATGACAAAATCATGGAATTTGCAGGGAAATGGATGGCATTAGAGCAGATTATGCTAAGTGAAGCTAGCCAATCCCTAAAAAACAAATGCCAAATGTCAGTTTGTTTAACCCTCACCTGTTGAAGGACATCTGGATTATTTTGGCTATTGCAAGTAAAGCTGTTACAAACATTTGTTTCTAGATTTTGTGTGAACATGTTTCTTCTTCTGGCATAAGTGTCCAGGAATTCAATTGCTAGGTCATATGGTAATTCTGTGTTTAGCTTTTATGAGAAACTGCCTGTTTTCCAGAGTGTCTATACTGTATTCCCACCAGCAATGTATGAGTAATCAAGTTTCTTCACTTCCTTACCAGCATTTAGTGGTGTCACTATTTTTTATTTTAGCTGTTTTGGTAGATGTGTAATCTACCAGAATTATTTAATTTGAATTTCCCTAATAGCTAATGGTGTTGAATCTTTTTTAAAAAAACATCCATTCCTTTTTATTTTTTATTTAAGACAAGGTCTTTCTAAGTGGCCAAGGCTAACCCCAAATATGCTATCCTTTTTGGCTCAGCTTCATGAGAGCTGGGATTATAAGCGTGTGACACATTACTCAGCCAGGTTGAATTTTTGTCTAAATTGTAAGATTTAGTTTGATATTCATTTATTTTGTTATTGAACATCTAATTTGTTGCAGGTCCCTGTGTTGACAAGGAAATCCTTCCCATTGAATTGTCTTTGCAACTTTTTGATTTTAAAAAATTGGCTAGGGCCAGATGTGGTGGTCCACACGTGTAATCCCAGCTAATTAGGCAGCTGAGGCAGTAGGATCCCAAATTTGAGGTTAGTTTGGGCAACTGAGCAGTTGCCCAGACTTCTATCAAAATAAAAATTAAGAAAAAAAATCTGGGGGTGTAGTTCAGTGGTAGAGTGCTTACCTAGCATGTGCAAGTCCGTAGATTTAATCTCTGGTACTGGAGGGAAAAAAATCAGGTAGGCACAAGGGGAAATTTTTAAGATATAGAAAACTACAGAGAATGACCTAACAAACTCCATGCATATCACCTGAACTGACGACACATTGACACGATTATTAATCTTTTTTGTCATGATTATGTAAGTCTTTTTTATTTTGAGACAGAGTCTCACTAAATTGCTGAGGGCCTTACTGAGTTGCTGAGGCTGGCCTTCAACTTGCAATCCTCCTGCCTCAGCCTCCCAAGTTGCTAGAATTACAGGCATGTGCACCACATCTGGCTACTTCACGTCTTTTTTTTTTTAATTATATAAAAGGAAGAATTCATTATGAATCTGAAATCTCTTCCAATCATCACCCTCAGTTCTTTGCACTTCCCACATGCAGCTACTGGTACAAATATGATATATTTCTTTCCATTTAATTTTGTACACATACCCTTAGAATAATATGGAATATTATTTTATGTGGGTGACCTTTGTAAATTTTTCATTTCAATCAATAAGCAGTATTTTTTTTTTTTTTTCAAAAACCAAGTAATACCAAGGGGCGAAAAAAGCAGAAGCAAAATAAGCAATCTTTTGCTTTACTCTCAATTCTACTGTTGATAACCGTCCATTTTCAGCTTCTTTTTTTCCTCTTAAGACTGGATGTCACTATACCTGCCTGGCCGGTTTCTAACTTGTAGTTTCAAGCCATTGTCCTGCCTCAGCCTCCCAAGTAGCCGGGAGTACAGGCATGTGCTATCATGCCCAGCTTATTTTCAGTTTTTAACAACTGTTTCTCCTGGTATTGTTTCTAAATTAAAATGATTATGATTCTCTTTATTGGTTTTTGTTATAGGTGAGCATTTGATTCTTATACCATGTCACCATTTCTTTCTTGGCTATTTTCCAATATATGTTATAAATTTTAATTGAATCAGTAGTCACTGTTTACATTTTTATGACTGATTTTTTTAAACTGCAGAGGTAAGTGTGCTACTATAAAATCAATAAACATTAAATAATTAACTAAATCCATTTTTTGTTTTTTCTGGAGTTATCTAATTTTTAAACTGTCTTTTAGTTTTTTCTGTACCTATCCTGATTATTTTTCTGTATGCTTAATCTGATTTATTTTACCCTGTCATTATTGTTTCCCAAGTAATCAAATAGATAGTCATTTGATTTCATTTTTTAAAAAAATTTTTTTAAAGTTGTTGATGGACTTTTATTTGCTTATATGCGGTTCTGAAAATTGAATCCAGTGCCTCACACGTGGTAGTTGTGGCACAGCCACAACCGTGATTCCATTTTTATACCTGGAGACCTCACTTTCAGAATTTTTTGTTCTTTTGCTCCAACCTAAACTAATTGTTGGTTATACTTTAGGCCTGGTCTTTGTTTTTCATCCTGTAATTTTTGCTCTTTATTTTGTTAATCCTGTTTCCTCACTTACATTGCGTTTGGCAAAGTACAGAATTCTTGGTTAGAAATAATTTTACCTTAGAATTTTTGTAGCCATAACTTCCTTCCTTCTTTCTTTCTTTCTTTGTTAATTTTTTTATTTGTTCTACTTAGTTGTACATGACAGTAGAATGCATTTCAATTCATCGTTCACAAACGGAGCGCAAATTTTAATTCTCTGGTTTTACACGGTTTAGAGATGCACAATTCGTGCAATCTATCTATGTATCTAGGGTAATGATGTCCATCTCATTCCACCATCTTTCCTATCGTGTCTTCTTTCTTTTTTATTTTTATTTACCAGGGATTAAACTCAGCTTAACCACTGACCCACATCCCCAGCCCTTTTTGTGTTTTTAGAGACAGGGTCTCACTAAGTTGCTTAGGGCCTCGATAAATTGCTCAGGGACTTACTGAGTTGCTGAAGTTGGCTTAGAACTTGGAATTCTCCTGCGTCAGCCTCCCAAGCAGCTGGGATTACACAGCTGCACCATTACGCTCAGCTGGCAATACCTTTCTAATTGCTGGCAACGGTACTAGTAGTCTGTTGTTTCTGTTCCTTCTTAATCTTTTCATTTGTAGTTAACCTCCTTTAATGTTTAAAAATCTCATCATGCTATGTCTTGGTTTAATCCTTTTGTTTCATTCATTATACTGGGTGCTTGATAAGTCTTTTGATCTTAAAGCCTTTGAACTTGGAATGTTTTGTTTTGTTTGTGCTAGGGATCTCACCCAGGGCCTTGTGCATTCTAGGGAAACTGTACCACTGAAGCTGCAGCCCCATATAAGACATTTATTTATTTATTTTTTCTTTTTTAGTACCAGGGATTGAACTGAAGTCCTGGTGCATGCTAGGCAAGCACTCTACTATGGCTGTGTTACATCTGCAGCCTTAGAACTTTTTAAAGAATTGTTTTTTCGTGCTTCCTTCCTGACATGTTTGTTTTCTCCCTGTCTTTATCTCATATTCCTATTAGTCTGATTGGAACTCCTAAAAGTAAGAATTGATATTTTTCTTTTTGTAAAGGGCAAGATAGTAGTTATTTTACATTGTGGATCTTTGTTGCAAGTACTCATCACTGTGGGTATTAACATATAAACAGGTTGGCTTTGCCATTTTCAAAAAAACTTTATTAACAAAAGCAGTTGTCCTGACCATAGTTTGCTGATTTCTGCCCTAGAATGATTTTATTTTCTTAATTTTTTTCTTTTTTTAAAAAATATTTTATTAGTTGTTGATGGACCTTTATTTATTTTTATGCGGTGCTGAGAATCAAACCCAGTGCTTCACACATGCTAGGCAAGCGCTCTACCACTGAGCCATAACCTCCGCCCCTTAAAAATTCTTATATTTTTTCATTTGTTTCGTGTTCTTGGTAATTTCCTGATCTCTTACCTATTGAAGTTCCTATTTTGGCTATCTTTTTTCCTTTTTTTAATTTTGCTGTGGTGGGATTGAAACATGCCTCACATGCAAAGCAGGTGCTCCACTACTGAGCTAAACATCACAACCCTGCATACAATTTTTAATTTGCAAGAGCTTTTCACTGATTGTTCCTTTTTCAAAGCATCCTCTACTTGTTTTCTGTACAATGATATTATCTTTTTTCTCTTGCAGGATATTATTTATAGCCTTTTAGCAGTCTTTTTCTCTTATTGAAAAACCATTTTGTCCTTTTTCTCCCATGTATATTTAAACTAGTTCCCTTTGTTTAGGGGATTTCTTCATAATCTTGAGATCCAAGGCTGTTAGTTCACACTTAGTACTGGGATCCTTAAGTTGCTTAGTAGAAGTTCTGTTTGTATGGGTGAACTTCAAATTAAAATGATCAGTTTATTTTTAGTGTACTCCAATTGAGTTTTCTTGCTAGTGGCTATTTACTCATCCCAATCAGAGTTCTGCTGGGTCCAATTTTACACGCCTTAATCCCAGCAACTTCAGAAACTGAGGCAGGAGAATCTCAAATTGGAAGCCAGCCTCACCAACTTAGTGAGGCCCTAAGCAACTTAATGATATGCTGGGGATGTGGCTTAGTGCTTAAGCACCCCTGCCTGGATTCAATCCCTCGTACAAAAAAAAAGTTCTTCTGCTTGGGCAAATAAGAGTGACTATGTCTCTAAATAAATAAATAAAATAAAATAGGGGCTGGGGATGTAGCTCAAGCAGTAGCGTGCTCGCCTGGCAGGCATGCGGCCTGGCCCGGGTTCGATCCTCAGCACCATGTACAAACAAAGATGTTGTGTCCGCCAATAACTGAAAAATAAATGTTAAAGTTCTCTCTCTCTCTCTGCCTCTCTCTAAAAAATAAATAAAATAAAATAAAATAAAAAGGAAAAAGGCTAGGAATGTAGTTCAGTTATAGAGTGCCCCTGGGTTCAATCCCCAATACTGAAAGGGTCAGGGGAGAGTTCTCCAATCTCCAGTGTCTTGCCTGGTGGGGATCCAAGCTTGGATATTACTGTAGGATACAACAGGGAGAATTGGGCAGGGGTTCTGATTGTATGCCATTTGGATTTTCATTTATTGCTGGTTTTAGATTTTAGATTTTGCCTTCCAGGGTGAGAGACTTGAGGGTATCATTTTGTCTCTGTGTAGATCCCAGCTTCCTGAATTTGGCTAAGCCAATTAACATCTTCCCATCTGCTTTTTCTGCCAAAACAGGTTGAAATCTGTTTGATGTTTTCACTGCTGGTTGGTTTTGTACTGAATAGTTCCTTTATCTCATTCTAGTAAAGCTGCTGGATAGAATAGAGTCAGTATGGGTTATCAGTCCACCAGGGCAAACTGGGATTCAGCAAATTAATTTTGAACATCTTTTGAGAAATGAGTAGTAGAAATTTTTGTCTGCAGTTAGATTTTTTTTATGTGTGCTGTATCTTATTTTTTCTCTCTACCCCTTCTTCCTCTTTATTACATATTCCTCATTTCTGTCTGAGACATCATCAGAATTGCCTTTACAGTACATATTTCTACTAAGATTCTTATCACAATCTCTTAGGTAATCTCCAAGAATGATTGAGGCTTTCTGCAAGGCCTCTTCTTCTGAACCCTCACTAGAATCACCCTTCATACTTCATATTTGGCAGTTTAGGCTTTTTCTAGCTTATACTTCCAGATTTCCAGATTCTTCCAAACTTTGCCTGTTATTCAGTTCTAAAGCTGCTTTCACATTTTTAAGTGTTTGTGATAGCAGTATTCCACTTACCAATACCACTTTCTGTTGTAGTCCATGTGGGACTCCCCTTTTCTTTTGAAAGGAAAGATCTTTATTTCTATAAGTAATGTATATACTTTAAAATGCTAAATGAATACTTGAGGGTGTAGGTCATTGGTAGATAACATGCCCAGCCTGCATGCATCCCTGGGTTCAATTGCCAACACCCCAAAATCTCCCCCAAAGAAACAAAAACCCGATTAAATGACATTGAACTATATAGACTCGAGAATGAAAAGCTGAACACCAGTGGTAATTGATACTCAGCTTTGCATTGCCGACTTTAAACATATTTACATACTACCCCTATTTTTTCTTTATTCTAGCTTGTCTATTTCATTTCCTTCAGGTCTCCAGGAAACTTAGAAAAGAACCGCTACGGAGATGTACCCTGTCTCGACCAAACTAGAGTGAAACTAACAAAACGAAGTGGCCACACTCAGGTATGCAGATAAATGCCATCTCTTTTGGATAACTGGGGGAAATTAAACCTCACCCAAAGTGAAACATTAATATTTTAGTAGAATGAAAATGGATACTTAAGGTAGATAAGGTTCAAGTTCTGATTTTGCTACATAGTAATCTGTTATAATAGACAAGTGCCTAAATGCCCATTTCATAGTACTGAGTGGGAAGTAAATTAAATTATTTATGTGAATGTTATGATAGTACAAGATCTGGTTTATTGTAGTTTCTTTTATTGTTAAATTATTTCTCCTTTTACTTCTTAGTTGTAAAGGCATGGCTATATAGTTCCAATTTGATGAATATATATGTAGCAATACAGGGCAACTTTGATTATATGTGATGAATTTTCCCATCTATATCTGAAAAAAGTTGTGGATAACTACTGTATACATAAATGTCTAGAGATAGAGATGAAATGGCCAGATGACTATTACTTATGTATTAATTTGTTCATATCTGTACATATTAATAAAAACCTCATATGTAAAATATTGAGATATGTAGTAAACATTTTACTCACCCTCACCTTTTTTTTTTTTTTTAAAGATAGAAGAGAGAGAGAATTTTTTTAATATTTATTTTTCAGTTTTCGGTGGACACAACATCTTTATTTTATTTTTATGTGGTGCTGAGGATCGAACCCAGCGCCCCGCGCATGCCAGGCGAGCACGTCACCGCTTGAGCCACATCCCCAGCCCTCACCCTCACCTTTTACATGCACCTTTAAAAAATTTTTTTTTTTTGTAATTGTAGATAGACAATATGCCTTTATTTTATTTGTTTATTTTTATGAGGTGCTAAGGATAGAATCCAGTGCTGCATGCATGCTAGGAAAGTGCTCTGCCACTGAGCTACAGCCTCAGCCCCCACATGCACCTTTGTCTTTACTTGTATTTGAGCCATTTTTAAAATTAGTCTCACATGGTTTTGCAGAATACATCAACTTTATTTCCTTTTAAGTGCATGATATTGTCATTGGCAAGTTTATTCTGAACCAGAATAATCTACTAGGATAATATTAGGATAGTTTTTAATTTTAATTCATCTCACACATTCTATATATTATAATCATTTACTTATTTCTTTTTTTATATAATATATATTTAGTTGCCGATGAACCTTTATTTAATTTATTTATATGTAGTGCTGAGAATCGAACCCAGTGCCTCACATATGCCAGGCAAGCACTATACTAAGTCACAACTCCAGCTCTTCTTATTCTTTTTTTTTTTGTTGTTGTTGTTGATACGAGGATTGAACCCAGGAATGCTTAAACACCGAGTCACATCCCTAGCTCTTTCTGCCTCAGTCTCCTGAGTCGCTGGAATTAGAGGCATGTGTCACCATACCCAGCTACTTATTCCTTTTTTAAGTAACATGTAACCTTAGAATTTTAGATTAACAACTAACTAGGTATTATATATGTATGTATTTTTTCTTTCTGATATACCAAGTTTTTTCTGGTGACCCTTATCAAAAAATAGCATTGAGCTAGGTGCAGTGGTGCACACTTGTGATTCCAGGGACTCAGGAAGCTGAGGTAAAAGAAGTAAAAGAATTGCAAGTTGAAGGTCATCCTGGGCAACTTAGCAAGACCCTGTTTCTAAATAAAACTAAAATTGGCTGGGGATGTAGCTCAGTGGTAGAGAACCCACCTCCCATCCCCATTCAATCTCCAGTATTGGTGGGGGAGAAAAAAAATTGACTGCAATTGCTGTTTCAAAAGAAAGTTACTTAAATAGAATCTCTTCAGCATTACATATATTTAAAGACTTCTTATAACCAAGGGCAATGGTGTGCACTTGTAATTTCAGCAACATAAGAGGGTGAGGCAGGAGAATCACAAGTTCACGGCTTTGTTTTGCTAAATTGCCAAGACTGGTCTCAAACTTGGAATTCTCCTGCCTTAATCTCTTGAGTTTCTGTGATTATGGGTTTGTGCCACTATGTCCAACTCTGGGGGCTAAATATTGGAAAAATCAGTGCTTTGTATTTGAGCATGTATGATATGTGATTCAGGACCCTAGGGTCATAGTTTCAATCTCTCTTGACCGTACTCTTTCAGGCACATGAACTGAACTCACAGCCCTGCCCAGGAGTCTTGCAATTTTCTCCTGTGAAGTATTGCTTAGTGTATCTGGCTACCTGAGGGTAAATTAATCAGTATGCTGAGATCCTCATAGTCATAGTACATGCTCTGAAGGAATGAAGTAGAATGGTTAACTTGGGGCTATGGAGTCAGATATCTTTATCTGTTTTGTTGAGTGCTGTCTCCAGTTTGTAGAACAGTGCTTAACTGCACTTATTAGACAGGAAGTATGTGAATAAGTGAAAACCTGGAAACTATCCTAGTTCATTCTATAATTAATCTGAAAATCATTGCCTGACTTTTAGTCTCACTACTGAAAACATCGGCAGTGGCTTTATTTGTGCAGTAAATGAGACATCAGGTTTTTTGTTTGCTTGTCTTTAGCTTTTTGGACATTATTTCTTTATTTAGTTTCAGGGATATTGTATACTCATGGATTTTCTACTTTCAGGATTATTCTTATTTTGTTTCTTGACATTTATTTTCAATAACAAAACCTGTATATTTATAATGTACAACACAATATTTTGAAATATGTATACAAAAACAATAATTAGTATACATTGTCAAATGGCTAAATCAAGCTAGTTAATATTTGCATTGCCTTACATACTTACTTGGAGCTTTTCTTTCTTTCTTTTTTTTTAATATTTATTTTTTTAGTTGTAGTTGGACACAATACCTTTATTCCACTCATTTTTATTTTTATGTGGTGCTGAGAATTGAATGCAGGGCCCCGCGCATGCTAGGCTTGCACTCTACCACTGAGCCACAATCCCTGTCCTGGAGCTTTTCTTTTTTATTTTATTTATCTATTTGTTTTGGGGACTGGGGATTGAACCAAAAGGCCCTCTACCACTGAGCTATACCCTCCCCTCCCACAACCCTTTTTGTTTTAAGATAGGATCTCACTAAGTTGCTGAGACTGATCTTGAACTTGCTATCCTCGTGCCTAAACTTCCCAAGTTGTTGGGAATGCAGGTGTGTGCCACCACCCTGGACAACTCTTTTCTTTTATAAGAGTACTAAGTGCCAGGGTGGCACACCCCTATAATCCCAGCAGCTTGGGATGCTAAGGCAGGAGAATTGCGAGTTAAAAGCCAGCCTCAGCAATTTAGGCCCTAAGCAACTTGGAGAGACCCTATCTCTAAATATAAAAATATAAAACAGGTCTAGAGTTGTGGGTCAGTTGTTAATTACCCCTGGGTTCAATCCCTGGTACCAAAAAAAAAAGTACTGAGGGTTCTACTTTGGTGGTCCTCATGATATAATTACCTCACAAAACTCATAAAGGTTCTGACCCCTAATGCCATCACATTGGCTGTTAGGATTAAAACATGAATTTTGGAAGTGGACACAAGCATTCAATCCATATAAACTTAACTATGTGTTGTGTTTGGTTTGGCTCATCCTCCTATTTTACTTTGCTCCCAGTCCTATGCTTTGTCTCTGACATCATTTTTAGTTGTAACATCTGATGCTTCTTCTGAATTTGCCAATATTCCCGGAGACAAGTGATCTCAGAGACAAAGATGTTAAAAGCTAATATCCTTAGTTATAAATAAATAATAGGAGTTGGATGCATTAGCACACACCTGTAATCCCATTGACCTGGGAGGCTGAGACAGTAAGATTCCAAGTTCAAGTCCACCCTCAGCAATTTATTGAGACCCCGTCTCAAAAAAAAAAAAAAAAAGCGCTGGGGATGTAGCTCAGTGGTAAAGCTCCCTGGGTTCATTTCTAGTACCAAAAATAAAAAATAAAGAAATAATAGGTCTCCTTTAGAGGTAATATATTTCTTCAAAATATCAAGACAGATCCTGGCATAACTGCTTATTTATTACTTAGGTATGTAGTAATGTTGATTCCTATATCAGGAAAATCTTATGTACTTTTCTTGGATCCTCAAAGGTATACCACTTGAATGTACCGGGCTGAGAAGAGGTCGAGTAGGTTTTTGCTAACTGTAGGTCTACCTTAACTGAGAAGCCTGGTTGGGAGTGAGTAAGGCTTTTAGCTTGCTGATCTCCTGCAGGTAGTCTGTTAGCTCAGTGGAGTTGTCTATGTCAGGCTAGAATACTAGTAATGTGGGTGCTAACTCCTTAGGAGGGGGAAAGAACAGAAAACCCCTAACTAAATAAATAGGAGAGTGAAAAGTTGATAGACTGTTTGGCTAATGGACACATATCCAAATTTCATGAGTTTGAACGTGAGGTGGAGATGTAGCCATGGAGTGCTGACACTTCATATTCCTTTCCATGTGATAGGACCCAGTAGAGTAATGGTAATAGATTAAAAGAGGAATCACTGACTTCTGTAGAATGGAATAGTGCATGTATGGGTTTTCCCTGGTTTGCTATTGCAACTTTTTTCTTTTTGGTGATGCTGAGGATTGACCCCAGGGCTGGTGTATCACTGAACTACATTCCCTACTTCTTTTTTTTTGAGGGGTTAGGTACTAGGGATTTAACCCAGAGCCAGTTTACCACTGAGCTACACTTCCAGCCCTTTTTTAGTTTTTATTTTGTGAGAAAGGGTCTCACTCAGTTGCTGAAGCTGACCTCAGGCTTGTGATCCTCCTGCCTCAGCCTCCCTAGTAACAAGGATTACAGGCTTGTGCCACTGTGTCTAGCTGAAACTTTTTTTCTTTTATTTTCCTAAACTCTCAACTCTTTTTGTCTATCCATCCAACTGTCAACTAGTTATAGTATGACTTGAAAGGATAGATGTATCAGTCTTTCTTTTTTTTTTTTTTATTAGCCTGGATTAAAGGCAGTTGGCATAGATCTTGTAAATTTAATATAAAATGATATTGCAACCAGGTATGAGGTGAATGCCTGTTATCTCAGTTACTCAGGAGGCTGAGGCAAGAGAAAGATTGCAAGT